TATAGATGTGTTGTGGTCTGTCCGCTAATCATTCATTCACCGTTTTGTTTCGCGTGCACAGCTATATATAACCGACACAGTTGAACAGACTAAACTTACACATTTTTGAATGCCTTTTCTTCTAGATTATTTCTCGAATAGCCATTATTCGAGCACATGTTCAGAGATCGATAGATGATCCAAAATGGACTGCCTGGAAGCGGTCTGATCGACATCAAATCGACTCGAGATGGAGAGATCTTAAGATCTACCCGTCTTGAATTGTAAGAATAAGTATTAATAATTTATTTTAAGCTGAAAAACAGAATTATTCGCTTCTGTAAAACAAAAAAAAGTAATGAAGAATAGATTCGAATCCACGTGGTCAAAATGTGTCGCATGTGTCGCACTTTTATGTGTCGTGCGCTTGCTGGAAGAAATGTGTCGCAACGAGCTCCTCGTGTCGCACTTGAATGTGTCGTACATTGTGTCTCAAAGTACGACACATGCAACACATTTTATCTTAGTGTGTATGATATATATATATATAAAGTTCAGTAGGATCCAGTTTGAAAGTTGAAATTAATTTAAGTTTCAACTTTCAGCCTTCCCATAAGCATAGTCACTGTCGGGGTGTAGGTAGTGGAATGTTGCGAGTTAAAGAGTAGTTTTTCAACTTTATTCCACTTTATGGTGTGGTAGAAGTGTTTGATTTTTATTGGTCTTTTTACATAAATAAAAAAGTTGGCAATCGCTTCTTAAAGCGGGGACAGTTGAATATACCGCTTATTAAATCCACATTCATACTAAAAGCAATGCTTGGTAAGTTTTGAATGCGATAGAAAGCACATCATTAATGTAATCCTTCGTGATGTTTTTATACTACAAAGCACGTTGTAGCGATCAGTCGAGTTCTTTTTGTTTCTCGGCATCAGACTCAAAAAGTCATATTTTGGGAGACGATGATGTTGAGAACGGCACATCGTATGGATCTCGTGGCAGGTTTAATGTAGGCTTGAGATCTCTATGTGGTATAAGTTTCGTTCGCCCGAGCTTACAGTCTTGGTAGTATAAGTAAGCCATTGATTTTGTTTTCATTATGTCGATATGAGGATGTCATGCTTGCTGTTGATCTTAGCAATGCTGAACAATCTTTGAGAATAATGATAGTCTATAGATTGGCAGCTGCTGACATCTTTTTATTATTATTTATCAAAACCCTATAGAGGACTAGCATATAATAGTATCTTTAGTTATGATCATGCAGGAGAAGTTTTGTGTCACGATGAGTTCGAGAGCGAAAGTATTGATATCAAACCGATATAGTTTGTATCTAAATACTCCATAGTGTACTCTATTTACTTACCAATAGAGTCCGGAAAAAGACAGCTTGTTGGAGTAGATGTCTGATTCGAATCCGAATGTAAATTCAGAATTTAAGAAAAAAATCGCACCGATGTTAAAATAGCATAGATAAACAAAAGATAAAATGTTATACAAATTATTCGTATTTTTTCTGTTTTCACTTCGTTAATCGCTGTGTACACAGTAGCGAACATGTGTCGTGACTCTCCGGGGAGTGCTTAGCGCCTCCACTCTTCGAGGCAGAAAAATGGCCATTTACCCTGTGGAAAGCCGTTCTGAGCTATTGGGTACTAGGTTCGTAACACAAGAATAAGCTGAGTAGTGTAAAAGTTCTCAGTTGAGTTCGATTATTGGAGAGGTAGCCAGCTTATCATCTATTGAAATTTTCTGAGCTGCTTCACACATCCTCAAAGATGCGACACATATCATCTGAGACACTACGCGTAACCTATGGGGCCCTAATGGTGTGAAATAGTGCCCGGAATGCTGTAGGGATTACTTTAAATACTAAAAGTATCACAGGCATGGTACAGGTATAACTCGGGATGCTAGAGGTATCGTTTAGAGTAGTACAGATGTGATTTAGGAAGCTGTAAATATCAGGAAGAACACTAGAGATGTTAGTTTTCTTAGTACAGCTACTAACCAGAATGCTATAGATATTACCTGAAGTGCTTTAGCGTTCTAAAAAAATCGTTTTCTTGGAAATCTATCAAAATAGTTTTCTAAGCACTCGGAAACCCAAGTAGGTTTCTGGACAACCTAGATGCGTTTCTGAACTTATTTCGGAAACCTTTAAAACGTTTTTTGAAAGGGAAAATGACTTTCCGAACTTCGGAAACGCATTCAGATTTTTCCGAAACCTATTTGAGTTTCCAAACGCTCAGAAATCTATTTTGGTGGGTTTCCGAGAAAACAAATTTTTTTTAGTGATGAATGACTAGTCATGTTGCACCTGTTATCCAGAATGCTACAGGCGAACGTTATCGGAATGCCTGATGAAACACCTGGACCACTTCAACGACCACACGGATGTAGGACCTGTAAGCAAATGGGTAACATGGTCAAGTAGATCCATACAAGCTATAGCCACTAGGCTTCAAAAATAAAAGACTACAATTACTGTGTACACAACGATGGGTATGATTCATGGCTCTTCGAGGGGCGTTTCATGCCAGCACGCCGTGACGCTGAGATAAAATGGCAGTGACACGGGGAAAAGTCGTTTCGGACAGTTGCATACCAAATGTGGAGCATTAAAATCGGCATTAGACTTATTCAAATTAGGGTAATTAAATGCCAAGCTATCTGTAGTAGATTAGGATTATTTTTCCTTGTCACATGTGACATTACACTATGCTTTCATGGACTATAGGAAAAGAATTCCTGAGGTATTCCAAAAGGTGACTAGATTATCCCTGGTGACGCTAGTAGCATCTGGCATATAGCTAGTAAGATCTTTGACAATGAATGAAGCGTCCCAGATGACACTTGTGGCATCTAAGCTGGCGTCGGTTTAACTCCAGGTGATGGGAGCAGCATACCAGCGGACGCTAGTAGTATCTCAGGAGACGCTGGTAAGATTTCAGACCACTCCAAGCATACCGCGGGCAATTTTAGTAGTATCTTACGTGATGCTCGTAGCAATTTATGTAAGACCGATAGCAGCTCAGGTGATGCTGGTATAATACTAAGTAATTGTGTAGGGAATCTCAGATGATACTTGTAGCATCTCGGTCATCGACTTGAGCCATCTCAGATTAGAAAAGTCTTCTTCAGATTCATCTATACAATTCGGAATAAATTCTATGGTTTGCTTTCTTCTACTCTATGATGGGTGTGACTTCGAATTTATAAATTGTAATTCATAGAAAATTTTATCTTTTGCTTTGTTGCGGTTTTAACATGGAAGCCATTTTTTCATTTATTTTCGAAGTATTACTAAAAATTTGGCTCTTCATTTATATTTGAACTCGAATAAGACAAATCATGGAAAGTCAGTCGCAATTCTATTTGCTTGTCGCTAAGACAGCTGTAAATATAGATGACAGTCGATAATGAATTTTTTAGACAATTAATTGATCATTCGATATAGTTTATTAGAAACATGTTGATACACATTGAGAGAGTTCTCTCAGTGATGAATTTCATTATGACTACTTCTTAGTTTATTGCTGACTTCCATCAACTGATTGATAGACGGATTACTTTTTCGATTTACAACGAGAAAAGTGCTTAATTTCAGTAAAACGTAAAGGCCTTTTAAAAAACCGTGATTCGCGATAAATCGTAGAAACGGTTTCTCGCTTTTTTATGAAAGTAAATTTTGGTATATGCGACTTTAGTTTATTAGTGATATCTTGGTTATGAAGACAAACAGAAGAATAACAAAAGAAGTAGAAATACAGAGAAGAAACAGTTGGAGAATAAGATAACGAATGTAATATCTGACGACCCTATAATAGAAGCAATACGAATATATACAGAAATGGCCAAAAATATAAGAACAGACAGTTTTTTAGCGTTTTTGTTTTATATATCTTTACTTTTTTCAACTGAAAAAAGGTTATGTGTATAGATATATGCAATCATTTGCTCTCTATCCGAAACTGAAGTTAGATTTCCTCGTTTCTCATGCCAGATCCAAGAAAAGACATTTTTATGGAGAATTTGTACTTTTTTGTCAATAAAAAACGCTAGTCTAGCTCAAATTTCTTCCACACTAACACTACAATTGAAATAGGACTATTTTTCCCGCAGTTTCACATAATAGAAAAGATACTTTTTACTACAAGACGAAAGATTTTTGAAATCTGAGAGGCATTCTGTTAGCGAGAAACGGCATGCTAGGAGCGAAAGTTTTATTAATTTTGTCATGAAAATCTTGAAAATGAGTTAGTCAGTAATACAAGGCTTTGAATAAAGAATACTTTATGGGCTAGATTGTGCTGAAATTATTTTTCTTAATATATTTATCTATGAGATATATCCATAATACAATGTTCAACTCAATAGATTGAGTGCTGTCTATTCTATGGTATTCGCGGAAAAGGAAAAATTGACGAGTTTTGATATATTTGATGCTTTCTATCTCAAAACTGACAAGAGATACAGATCTGAGATTTTTCGTGTATGCGAAACTTGTAGAATTACAGCATAGGTGTGGGCCTATCCTTTACCCATTTCGACACCACATCCACACTGATTTAGGAAAGTTGCTCACGGGCACTTGCTCACTAGGACACCGTCACTTGCATTTACACCCATATCTCTATGCTTCGACATCTTTCAGTCGTATAAATGTCAACTTTCCTATGATAGTTATCATCTGGAAAAACAAACTACTTTGTTAATTCTAATCATTACTGAAATAATTCAATTTTCTTGTTCTGGTGCACTTATAGGAAGCCCAGTATAGTTTGTTGAGCCTATTGTTATTATTGTAGATCATCGCATTGAAATCCAGTGCTATTCTGTTGCCGGCCTACTAATATACTTTCATGACCTATACGGAGATATCTACTCGTGACCATTGCCACCGTCTACAAAATAATTGTGATACACAATCGCTTTTTCCAATAAAGAATGATCTCCAGCGGCGTGCACTGAAAGTATGTCGTGAACTGAAAAAACATGGCATACATTCAAGTAATAGAATGAAAGCTGGTGGTTTTCAGTATACAGGAGTAGGTGATACTGCTCGATGCGATATATGTGGCCTTGAAGTGTCTCGATGGATTAGAGAGATGGATCCATTTTATGTTCATCTCGAACGTAATCCGAATTGTTCATTTGTTCGTTCTGTACAATCAAAAGATCAGTTGACACTTGATCAGGAAGAAAAGCCGGCCAAACGACAGAAGTCACAATTAAACACCGAGCGCTGTAATCGACAGAACAAAGTGGTTGAGCTAGATATTCTTAAACAAGTGCGTCAACGAACATTTTCGCACTGGCCACATGATACAGGGCTAACGAAGGAACAAATGATCAGTGCTGGATTTTTCCAGTGTAATGTTGGAGATCGTGTTATTTGTTTATATTGTAATCTTATTTGTCAGCAATGGGAAGGGAGTATGGATGAACCAGTTGAAGTCCATAAAAAGCTATCGCCGATGTGTCCTTATGTGCGATCAATGCTAACACAAACAGAATCTTCTTCAGTTTTGATTGTAAATGAAATATCAAAGGATACTAATGGTAATCAAACAGCTGCATTGAGTAATACCAATCACCTTCGATTCGAACAACTTGTTTATACATCACCATCCCATATTAGTTATAGTAGTATTCCAAGTCGACGAGCAACTTTTGAGACATGGACCGATCAATCATCACCTTCTGTTGATGATTTGGTTACAGCCGGTTTCTTTTATACGGGTGTAAAAAATATTGTCAGATGTTTCTATTGTAACGGATCATTACAGAATTGGGGCAAAAATGACAATCCATTAATTGAACACATAAGGTGGTTTCCACATTGTGCATATGCGAAACAGTTAAGCGGCGACGAGCTGTACAATAAAGTTCAAAAAGCGAAAAGGATTCGACAAGGTTGGAGCATTTTTTTCTTCAGAAAACGATAAATTGTATAGAGTTTCTTCGTTTATATACAGAGCATGAAAAGACTAAAATTTTGACAAATCTAACGAATGATAATTCATCTGTTTCCAATCATCAACAATTGCAAACAATCGATGAAAAACTATTGGCACGTTTAGTTGCTGCTCGACTCGATCTACCAATCTCACAAAGGTTACTTGATCAAAATTTTAAGCTATCAATCATAAAACGCTGTTGGGAAGATCAGCTTCAATTGAAACGTGAGTGAATAAACATAGATACAAAATACACTCATTACCACATTGATTTATGCGTATTTTTATATTTATTCAGATGATGATTTTGTCAGCGATTGTGATCTATTCATCGCTTGCGTCATTCTTCAAAAACAAATCGAACATATCAATGGAAATAAAGATAAGATCATCGTACCAAGTATTAAAATGAGATTAATTCGTGACCGAGAACAATCTGGTTTGTATAATATAATTTTAAAAAACGATCTATTCAGATATAATCATTCATTTATAGATAATTTAGTCGAAAAACAGCTTGTCTCACCATCACTTTCAACGACGTTAACAAACGATTCAATAATTAAAGCAAATGATACATCAGTACGAGCATCATCTGTAGCGGAGCCAATGAATATTGACATCGTTCATGAACTTCCAAAAGCTGAAGAACCTATTTCAGAAATTAAACCATCAGTAAACAATCCTTGTGTTATGTGTTGGCAAGAAGAGAAGCGTTTGGCTTGTATACCATGTGGTCATTTAGCCGCTTGTGTTAACTGTAGCCAAACACTTCGCATGTGCCCTATATGTCGTAGAGAAATTGAAGCATTTGTGCGTATTTATATTTGAAAGTACTAGGTTGGAAATTTTTTTCCCGATGAGTAACACTATACCAAGGGGGAATCGACGGATTCCGTATTTTCAAGATCCTTGTTAAGGAAATATTCTTCCTTCTGAACTATATAAGAGCATGTTCATTTTCTTTCTCTTATATGTATCTGTTCTTTAGTTCTTCTTGCTCAATTGAAATTGTTCGTTCGTTTCTATTTTCTCACAATCAATAAACATCGATATTGACCTTGCTCTTTTTATTCTTTTTTTTTGTATCGCATAGCTTATAATACGTGATACTGTTATCATTATCTATATATGTATGTACTTCTTCTATTCAGAGCAGAATGATTGCTGGCATTCTCTTCTTCTTAATTCTTTCATGATTTCATTCTCTTCTTCTTTCGTGCTTTCTTCTTCATTATTGAAATAAAATTGAACTCACGTTCAACAAAAATACAAAACCTACATTGGTGACGTGTGTTCCTCTCCCTTATTCATTCGTTAATCATCTTCAACAATAGATTTTTTTCTTCTCATTCATTCTTCAATTATCTTCGTGATTTTGGCAATCATTGTTCATGTCTAAATCAACGTCAATGTCAACAGTTTTTTCAATTCCTGTACTTCATGCTTTTGATTCTCCACAAGTACTTGGCAATCTTATCGTGATCGAATCAGTTTTTATTTTCAAGCAAATCGCATTTCCACTGATGAAGATAAAAAAGCACTTTTTCTTTGGTCTGTTGGTGATACAACATATAATTTACTAGAATCATTGATCTCATCTCGATCATTAACTGGTGAAGATACAAAGTTCATCGATTTAAACAAGTTGTTAGATGCTCATTATGATGCAACAAAAAATAGTATGACGTCCACATATGATTTCTACTCATGTTATCAAAAATCAGGACAAACATTCGCCCAATGGAAAGCTGAATTATGTGATAAACTACGCCATTGTGGATTTACTACATCTGCATTAAAAGTTAAACCACAAGACCATGCACTTCGAGATATGTATGTTATTGGAATTAAAAGTCAAAAAATTCGACAAGCATTACTCTAGGAACAAGATCCTGACTTAGAAACAACAGAAAAAATTACTCAATTAGCTGAGCGCTAAGAAGAAGATGTTCGCCATTTTGGTAATCCAATTAAAAATGATGATCATACAGTAGCAAAGCTTCACAATCCTCAACCAAAACAACAAAAACAACCACAAAATAAATCATTCGTAAAAAATGAATATAAACCATGTCAAACATGTGGTTCAACTAAACATCTTCGATCAAAATGCAAATATCGTGAGTTTACTTGTAACTTTTGCAAGAAAACCGGTCATTTAGAAAAAGTATATCGACAAAAGAAAAACGAAAAACCTTCTGCAAAACATATTGCAACGATTTATAAATTGATCTGTTTCAATCAAGCATAACAATCCATTAAACATCCATCAACAATTGCATTAAGGGTCAACAGTTATGATTTTACCTTTGAACTTGATACCGAAACATTTAATGCAATTATTAGTGTGGAGAATAGGTACAAACTAAAATCACCGACCATTCATCCATCTAATTTGAAATTAAAATGTTACAGTGGTAATACTCTTAAAATTAAAAGTGAATGCAATGTTAAAGTACAATACGAAAACCAAAATTATAATTTATCTATGATTATTATTTATGGTGCAAGTCTACCTCTTCTTGGTCTTCAATGGTTTAACATAATGCAACTCGACTTAAATCAACTCATTCATGCACAAAATTTTGTTAAATATTCAATTCACAAGATTTATACCTTCTCAAAACTTCAAGCAACATTACAAAAATACAAAGATGTATTACACAAAGAACTTGGACATTGTACTAAAGTTCAAGCTCATATTCAACTTAAACCTGATGCAATACCGAAGTTTTTCAAACCACGACCAATACCATTTGCATATCTTCAAGGAATAAAAGAAGAAATTCAACGGAACGTTGAAGCTGGTATTATTCAACGTATTGATACTTCTCCTTGGGCAGTACCAATAGTTTCTGTGAAAAAACCAAATGGTGAAATTCGAACATGTGCTGATTTCAAGTTGACAATTAATCCTCAAATATTAATTGATTAACATCCAATTCCATCGATTGAAGAACTTCTTGCACGACTTAATAAGAGTAGTGTCACATATCCAAGATTTTGGAGATGCCACCACATCTCCCGTAGGAGATGCCGCGTCTCCAGCGGGAGACGCGACACCCACACTCGAGAGATATGGTCATTCACCACTGGAGATGTAAGATCTCCTTTAGAGATGCGCATCCCCCACACCCACACCCGCATCTCTCGCGCGAGATGCGGCATCTCCCGCGGAAGACGTGGTGGCATCTCCAAAATCTTGGATATGTGACACTGCTGAATTTTTCTGACAAACGCAAGTTGTTAAACCATTTACGTAAGAAAAATACTCCGTGGAAATGAAGTCAAGAATGCCAAAAAGCATTCAACAATCTACTGCAAGAAGTTGTCAATACAACAACATTAGCACATTTTGATGCTCAATTACCAATTATCTTAGCAACTGACGCTTCACATTATGGCATTGGAGCTGTAATTATGCATCGATATCCTGATGGTTCCGAACGACCAATTGTACATGCTTCTAAAACTTTAACTGCTGCTGAACGTAATTATAGTCAAATTGAAAAAGAAGCACTTTCAATTATTTATGGTGTTAAAAAGTTTCATCAATATCTAGCTGATAGATCATTTGAACTCAATACTGATCATCAACCTCTTTTGGCGATTTTCAATCCAACTAAAGGTGTTCCAGTTGCAACAGCAAATCGACTTCAAAAGTGGGCAATTTATCTTATGGGATATAATTATAATATTCGTTATAAACCCACTCGATCGCATGCTAATGCCGATGCATTATCACGATTGCCAGTCGGATACGATAATTCTTTTATTGACAATGATGCCGAACCAATTAATTATATTCAAACACAACTTATTGAACAATGGCCACTAAAGCCAACTGAAATTGCACTAGCGACTACACACGATAATATACTTAAATTGGTAAGAGATTTTACTCTCACCAAATGACCTTCTTCATTTTCTAGGTCGAAGAATCCTGAATTAGTCTTGTATTTTAACAATCGTCATTCATTGTCGGTTATAAATGGTTATATTTTAAAAGATACTCAAGTGATTATTCCGAAACAATTACATAATCGAGCACTTCATATGTTACATCGTGCTCATCTTGGTACAATTAAAATGAAACAATTAGCCAGAGCTCATTGCTGGTGGCCAAAAATGGATAAAGATATTCTAGATGTTACAAAGTCCTGTACAATATGTGCACAATTACAACCATTACCTAAACCACAATTCAAATCATGAGAAGAACCAAAACAAGTATGGTCTCGTTTACATATGGATTTTGCTGGGCTAATTTGCAATTCAAAATGCCTGATACTAATTGATGCAAAATCAAAATTTCCAATTGTAGCTGATATGAAAAATGATACAACAGCAAAAAGCCTTTGTGATGCTTTAGAACAAGTTATCGATTGGTTCGGTCCTTCAGAAACATTAGTTTCCGATAATGGTCCACCATTTAATAGTTATGAAATGAACCAATTCTATGAGAAATATGATATTAATCATATCACAACAACTCCGTATCATCCAGCAAGTAATGGCTTAACATAACGATTCTTTCGTTCATTCAAAGAAGGAATGTTAAAAGAACAACAAATGGGACAAACAAATAAACTTATTGCATTAAGAAATGTATTAAGAAGTTATCGCTGGACTCCACACACTGCAACTGGTTCTTCTCTGGCAAACATGTTGTTACAACATCAAATCAGAACACTGAATTAGACATAATGAAACCTCATGAATCAATTACACCACGACAACAAACAAGATATGCTGTTGGACAGTTAGTTTGGACATTGAAGCATCAACTTAACAAACGACCTCAATGGCAACAGTCAATCATTACAAAAAATATCAGTTCAATGATTTACAAGATTCAATTACGTGATGGACAACGTTACAAACGTCATCAAAATCAACTTCGTCCTCGTTATTCTTCAAATACTCAATCATCTGAAATAGGCAGTCTACCTGATATTTTATTAAATACTAAATCGCAATCAAAGATTAGTGAGTTTTCACATCCATCGTCACCAAGGTTATCGTCCTCGTCGAAATCGAAAACCACCTGATCGTTATTCTCCTTAGTAACTATTTTAAGGGGAAAGATGTTAAGGAAATATTCTTCCTTATGAAATATATAAGTGCATGTTCATTTTCTTTCTCTTTCTCTTATATGTATCTATTCTTTAGTTCTTCTTGCTCAATGGAAATTGTTCGTTTGTTTCTATTCTCTCACGATCAATAAACATCGATATTGACCTTGCTATTTTTATTCTTTTTTTTTGTATCGCATAGCTTATAATACGTGATACTGTTATCATTATATATATATGTATGTACTTCTTCTATTCATAGCAGAATGGTTATTGCTGGCATTCTCTTCTTCTTTCGTGCTTTCTTCTTCATTATTGAAATAAAATTGAACTCACGTTCAACAAAAATACAAAACTTACAAGCACAAAGAGAAAATTGAATAACCGAGTCGTGTTAGGTTATAGTGCTACATATTGGATACATTTTAAAACTAGCTGAAACGTTCTAGCATTTGAAATGGTGGAGAAATTTGGAACGCACGGAAACCTAAATTTTGACCTATGATCTTGAGCTAACTCTTCGTAGATTCGATGTATCGAGCTAATATTTTTTTTGTGATATGTGTCTAGTTCGAGATATACTTTCGCTGAAAATTTCATCAAGATTAGATGCTCGAAAACAACTTTCATTTTAGAAGGGATCTTAAAATCTTCAGGCGACATCATTGTACCATTTGTTAATGATGCCCATGTGTTTCACGAATTTTTGTTGGTGACAAAAATGAAAAAGATTTGAAATTACATAAAGAATAAACGATATCAAAATGCAAACAATTTAAAGTGCTAGAAAATGATTTGAATTAAGATCTTTGAGAAAGCTTTAAAATATTCGAAAAGGGTTTAAATATAACATGCAATCTCGATCAAGGGTATCGATATGAATATTTTGTTCACTCACATCCTATTTTCGCATAAAAAATAAGTATATTCAAAACATCACAGATTAGTCAATCCAAACACAAAGTGAAGATGCATGAATGCCATAGGTACCATCAGTACATATATTATTCTCTTGCAAATATTTATCCATGATCGACAGATGTGTTTTAAAAGGTTGAGTCCAACGAATAGTTGCACTAGTCAATTCATAAAGTCCATTAAAAACTCGAAAACTATCATTCCGCTCTCTAACATGTAAAGAAATATATTCTAATTTTGGAAATGTTTGACAGATTTGATCAATATCATTACTGAGTACGATATCTTGCACATATAATCGTTTTATTTGTTCGTATTTATTTTGAGCATCTGAAAACGAATCGATAATTTGCATCAATGTTTTACAATAAATAGTTAATTGATCAATATTTGATGCTGCTTGTAAAATACCATTAAGTGAAGTAGATTGTATTGAAGATCTCAATATTAGATGATGAACAGATAATAAATTCATAAATTTTGTTAATTGATCAATGTTATCGATGTTACATTCGAGCGATAAAGTTTGGACGTGTTTGAAGGGTGATGAAACGAGAACTGGTGAAGGACAATCCCATACTCGTAATTGTGTACACTTATCATCAAATGAATAAGGAGTTATTGAATAATTAATAAAACCTTCACCTGATGGATACCATGCATCAGTTGGAGAAAAATGAGGTACAGAAAATAGTCTTGCACATGATTGAGTTGAAGTTGAGATTAAGCAAGCCATGTGCCAATGTTTTTCATTTGTCCAAAATGAATTTTGAAATGGTATAAGTACATCATCACCAGTCATATTATTTTCTTCGGGTGTGATATTCAATGCAAATTCAGTCAGATGTGGTAATTTTGTTTTAATCAATGTCTCCCATCGTCTACCATCAAGCAAAGCTAATTCACCTGATGTTTCAAATATAAAGCGTTTCAATGATTTAGTAAATGACAAGAAATTTTCAATTGCATCAAACAGTATCCAATCTTGTGACTCGATCATCAGAGAACTTAAATTTGATGGAATATAATCAAATGTGAATGTACCTGCATTGTATGGCACTAATATCTTAAGATACAATAGATTTGGAACCCAATGAAAAATAATCTTTAGATCGATGAATCTACAAGAACGAATAGTCAAATGAGTGAGTTTTAATAATGGTTGTTTAAGAGTTGTTAATGTTGAACTTTTCATAAATGTCAAATATTTTAAAGATGGTAGACTCGATAATGTTTCAGTAATACAACGAGAATATTTTTTACTTATTTCCATATGATAATTATATATAATTAATGATTGAATTTGAGGATGATTTTCAAGATGTGATAATATTAAACAAAGTAAATTAACATCATCAATTTGAATTATATTTATCGATTGAAGATTAATAAATTGAATAAGTGGTAAAAGAGACATGAACAATTTTATTTGACCTGGTGTATATTCATCATCGGCAAGAACAAGAGATTGTACTTGATTGGGATAGATATGTTCGCATATATAATAAAATGTTGATTTTTTCATTGATTTACAATTGAGTCGAATACGAGAATACGAATGAAGTATTGTATCAATATAAGAGTTTATTTCAACGAATCCATGTAGAAGATCATTTGGTTTTAAATAATCAAATATCATATGTAGAACTTCCATAGGAAAGTGATCAAGCATACAAGCCATAGTTTTAGAAGACAATTTATTCAATTAATAAATCTAAAATATGTAAAAGTATTCTTATTGTATTAATGAAACTATCATTGACTGTAATAAATAGATTTGAGTTAGAGAACAGGTAAAACACAGACGACTTAGGTAAAATTAAGCTTGTTGATTATGCAATGTCATCAGAACCACTAGAAATTTACATTTATTTCTTTCTTTGAAAAAAATCTGTATATATAAAAAACAAAACTAGGTGGCGTTACTGCATGGTCAAATTTCCCTTCTGTATAACAAGAAACATTTTCAGACCGATTCAAATTCGTCTGGACATCAACATTGAATACATTTCATTCATTATTTTAGATATTATAAAACAATAAAATTGATTCGTTAGATATTCGATTTATTTTGAAACAAAATCAAAAGCTTTTTATTCGCTTACTTCCATATTTTTATTGTAAGAAAATACAATCTGAGATACTTGAGCATAGTAGATTTGTCTACTATGTCTTAGTTAATTTTCAAGAGCACGATAAATTCTAGCCTTTGCAAGGTTTTCTCAATCCTGCGAGGCAGCACTTGTTCAATTCGTTCATTTTTCTGCTCATTCTTGCATAACTATGCTAGATGAAAAGTCTATTGGAACAGCATTTGGACTATCATGTAGCCAGTCTTCAAGTGTTACAACTTGAATGTTATGTTCTATCAAAGAAGCATTCATGTCATTGGCACTTGTGTTTTATCAATGAAAACCGCTACGTTTAAATGTATATACTAACCTCTTAGTTTTTTTGAGAAAAGCAATTTCTATTTTAGTTCGTTGCGGCTGTATACACTAGCACTAAGAACGAAGGAAGAATCCTTTCACAACTTCTCGTCTATTAATTCACAATAACTAATATTGAACAGTATCCATGCTTTTTCCGGTTAATTTTCTTGTTTGATATTATTTTTTAACACAACTGCAGGTCTTTTCAATTCGTTTAAAAGCACTATTACCCATAGGAGAACAAAATGAGCTACAAAATTAAATTTTTTATAGCGGGCTTCATATGTTTATAAACTTATCAATATCAGATATTGTCACAATCCCATGAGGTAACAATTGGTAAAATTTCAACAACAAAATGGAATCTTTTATTTTTGATATTTATGAAACGAAAAGATGAACTGAAATTTCTAGATATTGAGAGTTTTTGACAGTCAATTAAAAGTATTTTTGAAAATTGAGCTCAAGATTTTAATGCAAAATATCTATAATTTATACTAAATTTCACTTCGTATGGCTAGCTAACTTTTCATAATCATAATTAATACATTCAACATAATTTGAATCCTTTATTGCACTATGAGAAAAATATTGACACTGATATTAGAGTCGAAAGAAAGTACTTTTTGTATGATTGATATTAATATTAATATAAAATCGCATTCGAATTAGTGATAAGGAAGAATATTATTATTATTGTCTGTCTTTGCGATAGATTTATGATATTGAATGCAATACATGTAGAAAATAGGAAAGTTCAGAATTCAGATGAGTATACTAGTAAACCCTTCGTAAATAAAACTTTTTTTGAATACTTTTGTAGCAAAAATTCTGCAAAAGCCTTAATAATCATTACAAATATATTTCATTAAGCTAAATAGAGTGAGTAATAATACTACAAAAGAGAAAAAGTTTGCTGATATGTAGCTAGTTTTGTTGTTTTTTAATCATATAAATTTAGTATCGCTCTAGTTTACATACCACTTTATGTGATAAATAAAATAGAAGATATTGCTTAAAACCATGACGTCATAGTTAGTCAGCTTTATTCCTGTCTCAGTTTTGTTGGCCTTCTTTATCAGAACATATATATATACATATG